GATGCCCTTCGAACAGTCACTCATGCCCTTGTTATCTCCCAGATTGTCAGGCCTAGCCCAAAGAACTCCTGGAGACCATGCAGGTTCAATCAGCAAGGTTTATTTGCCAGCACCTGTTTACAGAAATCTTCTCAGACTGACCAGCAATTCCCAGGCACAACTCTCTACTATCTTCTGGAATGTTTAGGGATGCGCCAGCTTTCTCTGCTTATCTCCAGAGCGTTGCTCTGGAGACGGGAGCACCGTTTTTACCCTCCTTCCTCCATTCCAGTCCATCACAAGGACCTTGAGCAGATCCTCTCTAGAAGACCTGACAGCATAACCAGAATTATTTTACTGAAGATGGTCCATCACATAGCCTTCTGTATATATTTTGTATATATGGTCATGTGTAATCCACAATGATTTTATGAAATTCCTTTTCACAACCATTATGCGAGTGATCATTGTTATGTGTTGGTGACAGCAAACTGTATAGTAGTAGTTGAATTCCAACAGACTTGCCCAATACAATGCCTTCTAGATGTGTTGGGACTTCAACTTTCAGAAGATTATGTAGATGATTCTTCTCAAACCCAGTGGCTTCCAAATTTGTAATGATATCCATAAACAGTATCAGCTGAAATAGATTTTCAGTTGAGAATGTAATCTACCTAGGCTAAATTCCAGCAAGAATAGGAAATATTCCTAAACTATTTGTGCACACTTATTTTGTGAGATACACAGTTTGATGTAATTTGCTATGCATAGTTACCTTATCAAGCTCATCAGAAACTGCAATGCCTACAAATAAAACAAGATTATAGTCAATTATAAAAGCAAATAAATGAAACACAATTGCTTGAGGAATTTAATGCCTAGTCAAGGCCTGGTTGAAATGTAACAACAACATGAGATTCCTTCAAATTCTGGCTTCAGACTGAGCAAATATGCTGGCATATAATGCCTGATTACTTCCACATGGCTCTTTCTGCTTGTGGGAACACCTAATCCAAGCATAAGCTAATGTTTTGAGCCCATTGCAACATTTGGAACGTTTAAAACATGTAATTGATGCTCGCACAAAGTGGCTGCCATTGGGTGACTTATCTATTTAAAAAATGGCCACCATCATAAGCATGATTAGTCATAACATACCCGTTTATCAGAAAACAACTTAGTTATATTGCTTCCTGTCTCCCTTCTATTATTCCAAGGGATTTTCTATCATCCTATTTCTTTTTTTACGAGTGAATAGACAGTAGGACCTGCAAATTGCTCAAAGGAGGTGATTTGCAATCCTTGGAAAAAAACTAAGCAAAATACCTTGATGTGCAAAGAGAGACAGCCAGGGACAGTGTATGAAGCTTCATGCAAGCAATACTTTAATGATTCAGAGATTATTCATATGTAGTGTGACTTAATAGACACATTTTTTTTTTAAAAAAAGAGGGGGTTATAATCATTTACCATTTTTATTATCTAAGAATGTCTTCTGATACTGGGGGTTAGTGCTTTGCTTTGCAATATGCTGACTTTCCATTATTTGAATTTTAAAAAAATCTTATAAAAAAATTAAAGCCGGTGCAGGGAGTCTAACAGAATCAAGAAAGAGTCTGTGAGGCACACTAATACTCTTGGACACTATATGGCCTATTTCTAAAAAAAAACCAGGAACATAATATAACTCAGCAGCATTTCAGATTCAAAGGAAACAATATGATTCACAGCATATTCAGAGTATGCACACAGCAACTGTTGGAAATTAAAACAACTCTATCTTTTCCTGGGTTCACTATATGATCCTGGGAAAAGATGCATTTGTTTAAGGTATTTCTAACAAATGTTATGTGCATCTCCACTCTTGCTCCATATCACCTCTGCCTTTGAATCTGAAGTACTATACAAATGTAGAACGTAAGTCTATGTTCTTTAATGCTATGTCTAAACTGGGATCTCTTAGCAATTTGAAGAACACCCCCAAATTCCATGGGATTTTTGTTAGATGTAATCAGTGGAGAAGGAACCAAGTGGGGCCAAAGAAACAGTGTAGGCAGTAATCTTGTTACTTCACTCGTTCTGAATCAGCCCATTATGTTTTACATCAGCTAAACAATAATCTCCTAAGCATTACAGCCATGAGTTAAGAGTTTTTATACCTGCCACCACTTTACTATCCAATGCAGCTCATAGATCAGAAACTTTTGTTTCCAGGTTTATCTAGCCATGGTAACTAATTATGTCTGAACTTGAATAAACTGGTTAGCCTTAACCTAGGTTTAGGAAAGCAATTCAACTTAAAACTATGGTTTACAGTTGTGATTTATTTATTTAACTTTTCTTCTACAATAACAATAGCTGTTGACTAATACAAGTAATTGAGGTTAGCCAAAAATGGAAGAGAAGCATCCTGATGTCTCTCTGCACAAGTGGGATATATAATCCAGGCTTAACCCCGCAATGCAAAACTGTACAGAAAGTTCTAAAGCAGATTTGGCAGGGGGCACATAGGACTGCAGGTATGAGAAGTAAAAATTACTTTCCTTCCATTCATGGTAGCCATGCTGGAATAATGGTCTTTCCAGGAACAAAAGGCTGGATCCAATTCAGCACCTTTCTTCCAATAAACATAGCACATGTTTGTTAAGATATATTGAAGAAATATTTGGTTCCTGCTTTTAAAAAGATGTTCAAAACTGCCTAAATGCTGATCAATTTTTCAGTCTAGATAATGTCTTAATTGATTTTTATGTTGAAAACAGGTTAGCATAGTTCAGAGTAGTTAACATTTTATGAACAACTCAATATGTGATAAAGTACATACATTTACAAAGTACATTCATATATTGAACAAAGAACACTTTGCTTCCAGTTGTTAATCAATTTTTAATCCTGGAGGGATTAGTTTAGCAATGAAAGTACATTTCTAGTTCTTCAGTCTTTAGCTGTGTGGGCGCTTGCAAGAGATAGAAAGCAGAATCAACTTTTACAGGCTTAATTTGGTTCAGAAAGCTGAACACATACACAACAGCATCTCAGTTTCTTCCACATATGCATGTTTCACATTTCCCCTAGCCTTTAAAACTTGGTTATTTGTCCTTTAAAAGATGTCTATTATCCCTTATTTATCAGTATCACGTCACTCTTTATCTATCAAGCCTGGTTACACAGTGATCTTACCCTGATTTCTAGGATCAGGCACTTTGGTTTGATAGGCCAGTTTTAGGTTCTGGCTACTAAAGACATGCTAATTTGCTTCTGCTGGTTCCCCTTCAACCATATCCACCAAATGAATCTGCTTGTTATGAACATACCATACCCCTGTTCAAAATTATTGAACAAATACACTGAATGTATACAGGAGAAACAAAATTATGACAGTATGTACCAACTCAATTTCCATGTTTCTTCCAACTTTGAGTGTAAACAAAGCTCTAAATTCTTACAATAATATATGCATGGGGCTCTTTGTACACCTTCACCTGAACGTTGAAAACAGGACACATGAACAGCAGTTGCATTCCTTATTTTCCATGCACGAACATGTGGGTGAATCTCTCCATTCTAATCTAGGAATAATTCAGTAATTGATCAGGGCCAGTAAATGGCAGGATTTACAAATTGCAAACACTGAATTTTCAGAATGTTCCTCATTCCTATTGTATTCCTAGTTCTTGTTCTTATTCCAGAGTTTCTGACTGACTGAAAAGACTATATAAACAGAAGATATAGAAAGAGATAATTCTACAATTATTTTCAAGCTAAGCCTCTATGTTGCTCTACAAGCCAACAGTCTTTTTTTGTGTAACTGCTTCTTCATTTATTCATCCTAACCACATAATTTGGCATGCCTTATATCAATTATGCTAGTAGGCTGCAGCCTTGGTTAGGATAGGATCCTACCTAAACAGTCTAAAACCTCTTTATACTGGTACATTAATCTGGATTTATTCCCCGTTTTAAATTTCTCAGTTGTATTTGCCACCATATAAATTAAATAAAATATGTAATGAGGATCAGGATTGTTGCTCAAGATACCAGAGATTTCAAGCATCCATAACAGATTTTCTTCATATCTTTGGATCATGTGTAGATATTAAATTATTCTGGAATGTTATATTATATTCAACATATGACAGGGGCTATTACAGAGAATCCTATTTATCTGCTTTTTAAAAGTATGCAGAACCTCTAGATTTGCAACATACTAATTTTAATAATAGCAGATAGAATCAGTATAGTACAATATAAGAAATCATTTAAATGTAAGAAATGACATGAGAAAATATGGAAATTAGCACTGCTTTTAAAATAAATATATTTTCTTAATCAGAAGAAAGAAGAATTCAAGAATGATAATCTTATACAAAATGGTCATCTAGAAGGATAATTACAATTATATATATATACTTTAATATATGTATTTTTCAATATATTAGAAACTATGAAATGCAGGCCCTAACTATGATTGTGTTTTTACTTAAAAACACATTTTACTTTGTATTTATTTAAAATAAATATTTATGTAATTATTTAAATTAAACATTTATTCAAATCAATAAATTAATTACTGATCAATTATTTAAATTAGATATTTATTTTGAAAAATATGAGTTCAGAGTGGGAAGAGGGAACATTTCCATTGTCCCGCAGCTCAAGCAACTGATATGATAGCTCTGATACAGTAAGGAAATGAAGTATACCAAGTCAGTTAAATTCTCTGTATCTATACAATATTATACCCTGAAAAGCAGTAGCAAACCTATTCAAGCATCAATTCTCTCAAATATATTAGAGCTATTTTTTTCTAGCGGGAAAAAGGAAGAAGAAACCGTAAGTGCTAGAGTGCTGTATGGAAAAAACACTGAACTATCAGGCCTATCTTTAAACCTTCTCTTATTAATATACACTTTATTTCGATAGCTATATTTACGGGAATATTTTCCCACTAACAACTAATTTCCATCTTTATGCTTATTCAACTTGAGTCACACAATTCACATAATGTGTCTCTTAAAATGAAAGAAGCTTCACTTCTGCAAGCCATTTGAAATTCATTTCCCAAATGACTTATTTTCAAATAAATGCAGGTGAGTTTAATATGACTCAGGTGATTTTCATTGCACTAGCAGAAAAGAACTCACAAGGGGGCTTACTAGATTCCCTTCTGCTGTGCTATTTCAATGTGAATTCCTCAGATGGTATCAGTTTTACGGAGAACAAAAGGCTGGTGTTGATATGCTTTTCTGAAATGCCAGCAGATGGCCTTATTAAAGACTGAGTGTTTTTAAATCTGTTGAATTAAACATTCTGGTTTTAATGGTACAGTTGGGATCATTTTTCTCTTTCAGACTGACTTCAGCATGTGAAAGTAAAGCAGATCGCCAGTATTGGACTGTATATTTCTTCTGATGTGTTCGTTTTAAGAGTGGTTATTCTACATCCAAAAGAACTGTAATTCAGCAAAAAAATAAATCAACAGCATGAAGTATTTAAATAATTTTTCTGGACCCAACACTACAGAATACCTATAACAAAAATGAAGGAAGACTTAAGTCTTCTTCAAGCATTTTAAAAACATGTTAGTTTTCTGCATAAGGAGGGGAGTGGGAACAATCATGTTAACTTAATGGAGCAACAATGCACTGATTTCTATGTGTTCAAGGTAATTATGGATCTGCACTGGATCGCATTTTCTAAACAGGGAGGCTCTTCAGCTAATTTGTAATTCTTGAGATTTTTTAATTATGTGAAGGGTATTTACTGCCAGAGTTTTAAAGGGTTTCAGCCCTTTAAAAGAGGGCAGGAGGTGACTTTTCTTTCTCTAAAAGAGAGCTAGTGCACTTTTTCCCTTGCCTTTTCTTTGGGTGTATACTCTTAGCACACCTGAATGAGAAACAGCAGAGCTATTTGTTTATTTGTTTATTTCTTTATAATTTGTATCCCTCTAGTGAATGAAAAATGAATCCCTGTTATCAGTAAAGGCCCAAATGAGATTCTAGCGAAGCCAAAAGAAGAAGCTGTATAGAATTTCCCCCCTGTTTTGGTGCAATATAGTGGTATAAAGGTAAGGACAGCATTTGTGATACTAATTAATGCAAACCTATGGCTCTATATATCATTATGGAGTATGGCGCTCTAGGTACACATTCATATGCATAAGTATTAACATTGTCCACTGGTGGCAATCAAAACCATATGGAAGATACAATCGCAACTGTAGAGCAATAACCTAGTACGAAAAGTTGAAGATATTGGAAAATTTGTATTATCTTGATGCCTTATTACAAGAATTCTTGTAACATTATGCTGGCATAGTGATCTGGAGGAGATCAAAAAAATATTTCAACACAGGCAGCATTAAATCAGGATATTATTCTACCATCACTTCTCTAATGAGACCACAGGCCTCATGTACCTGTACGTGCACATGTACCTTCAATATCCATTGGTACATGCAACTTGGTCTCTGTCCTAAAACTGCTCAGTCAGCCTGAACAACCCATAGGGATTTCACAAACATGAAACATATTCACTGCATAATAGAAATAGAAAAGGAATGAAGTACCTCAGTAAAAAAAAAGAAATACTACACTTTAGCAACTGTGACATAAAATTAAGTTTAGATTGCCATAAAATGTATCAAAGAAGATGTCAGCCATAAAAACATATGCTTTTTTTAATGGCACAAAACTGACAGAACAATAAATATAAAGAATAAATCTAAAGAATTTGCTGACTTACTAGAATTCAGTGATGATACACCAAGCTGCCATTCAAAAGTATCTTTCAATCTTAATCAGCTACTGTATTTCAAGAGGCATAAAATACTGTATTTAAAGGCATAAAATTCAGTTACATTTTCTTGGAATGAATAGAGGAGGAAGGGACTGATGAAAGGCTCAGATGGATGCCTTTTAATTTTATTATTAAATTAGATCCATCCCTCTACCTTTTGTAACAGCTTTTCAAAACTCTTAAACAGTTGGAAATTTCTCATAAATTTTAAGGATTTTCATTTTAAAAAAATGAAGAGCAAACAGTATTTTGAAGGTCATCTAATGTGTTTTAAATGGTGCAGAGAAATGTTCAGACTTAATCCTGTTACTCTGTGTATCACAAACTGTTGGTAATATCTTAACGATTATTTTAATAAAACTTTTGTCAAACGCATATTGCCTTCACTAAAGTTATCTCCAATCTTCACACTGTAGGAATATGCTTTTTCAGTATATGCGTCACGTGTTGATCAACTTACTTCGAGAAAGATTTTCAAGAGCTTTGCCAAGTTTCTTACTTTCTTGAAGGATATGGTTTAATTCGTCAAAATCATGATGCTCTGATTTTGACCTCCAATCCCATTTCAGGTGTCCTACTGATCGAGGCACTAAATAAAATAAAGCACAATTTCAGGTTATAAAAATCAACAGAAAAGTCATAAGGCTCCCAGGGGTGCTGAAATATCTCCCCAGTCCTAACATACATGTTGCTTGGTCAGTATTTTAAAACTGAAACTAATGTTTTGTAGCTTTGTTTCTATAGAAATTGATTTTCACATCTTTATCAGCATGCAATCATTTGTAAATACATTGAATTTAAATAATTAAAACTCAACCTCTCTAATTATGCTACAATGAAACTTGAAGTAAACATTGTCAGGAGGATATGCCTTCTGTTTGCAAAGTATTCTGGGGAAAAAACACAGCAAGGGGCTTCATTCTTCATGAGACAAGGGCTTTACATGTATTAACGAGAGAATCTTTAACCAGGACCATAATATTTATGTTTATTGGTAAGATCTGCAGCAAAACAGTGCAGCGCTCTTGACAGTTACAACTCATTTCAAGTTTCTCCATTACATTCCTCCCTTCTCCAATTCACTATTTTGATCCATTGCAGGCCCTCAGCATTCTGTAGTCATGGAGTGTGCTCAATCCTCAGTGGCTTGTTTGGGAATTGTTAGGGAAAAAAATGAAAATATGTTTTAAAGTAACTGCACAAATAAATAAAATTAGGGTTTATTCCCTAATGTTTTGTCTAGGTCCACATAATTCTGTCATGTTTCTTAATTGCTGAATTCCTCACTTCAATTTTGTATTATGTAATAGTCCATAGGGGTTTTCATCATTAAAATATGATGGAGTAAATGATGTAGGATTACTGGACAATGCTAGACTCTTTTTTATTTCCAGGATAATAACCCACTTCTCTGATTGGAAATTACTTTGGTGGTCTTCTTCCTTTCCATTAACTGGGCAAAATAAAAGTGTCATATGAACCCATGGAGTAACTCTTCCCCACTTTAACACTCACCTTCAGAGAACTGGGATAACAATGACATAAAATGTAAGACCCCTGAGTGATGAGAACAAGAGCCCATCAAGTCTAGCATTCTGTGACCTATAGTGGCCAAGCAGATGCTTCTAGAAGCTCATAAATTATTTTATTTATTTATTTTATTAATTAATTAATTTCTTTAGCTGCCTATCTCAACCAAGTGACTCTGGGGGGTGAACAATGCTAAATATGGACAGGATGGCAATAGATTATTTCTACTGTTGCATCCTGACTGCTGGTATTTAAAATATGATACCTGTGATTATAGAGATACTAAAATAGCCATTGACAGCCTGATCCTCCATGAATTTGTTAAATCATCTACATCACCACCTCTGATGGCAGAAATTCTATAGTTCATCTATGTTAAGAAATATTTCTTTATTGGTCCTAAATCTCTCAAATATTTAAGTTTATATACAGGGAGAAAAACTCTCTCCATCCACATTTTCCATACTACTCACAAATTTAATAGAAGGCAGAAAGGCTCCTTTCAAATGACCTGGGGCTTTTTAAATTACTCCCATAGGCAAAAACAATTATGAATCTAAAAATCCTTTGCCAGCAAGGTAACAGAAGGTTTCCTCTTTTGAAAGATTCACTATTTTAAATTAATTCCAATTCAAGTTTCAACTGCATAAAATAAAATGCCTTCAACAAAAGTAGGACCAGCTTCATTGGTAATCACAATGATCACTATAATATTTTTTTTACTGAATGTCTAGGATAACTCATTACTAACATTTTTGAACTTTCCTGAATCTCATTGTTCAGGGTTTATTAAAGCCAGTACTGAAGTTGATTAAATGCCCTGCCATAATTCTTGAATTAGCATTATCTTTTACTCAAGAGGTAATACCTACCAAGTAAGGTAAGTAACATAATGTATTAGATTTGCTTCAGTTTAATCAAAAAGGAATTTTAGGGCTTTTCTTGTTTCTTACTGCAACCAACCACTTTCTTCCTTTTAGATTTTTTTCTGTGCATGTACTTCAGTTAGCTCCTTTTATTCCTAAAAAATCTTCTTGCTATGTAAATATGTAAAAATGGCAAATTAAAATTTATGTACATAGTAGAGTTAGAAAATGCAGAGAAAACCACTAGGGTTGTCAAGAATCTACACTGACATTCTGCTTCCAATTTAATCATAGGCCAAACAAATGTATCCATGTCTCTAAAGAGAAGGTACAGGCTGACTCAGTTTGAGCACTTGACACTTGAAAAAGTACAGTATGTCTACACAAATGCATATCAGATGCATATCCAAAGTATACATGAATCTTGCAATCTGCATATTGATTAGACAGGCAATAAAATTTGAGCTGCATTTTGTCATAAGCAATAGCATTGGATTATTGTTCCATAAGATTCAGCCCCCTGTAAATCACAAGACAGAACATGCATACATTTATTAAATTAATTTAAAAATTAAATTTATAGATACACCCACAGAAACATTAAAATCAAAATACCTGTACAGAAGCTAGGAAAAAATCACACACTGCATTTAATACACTTCCTTACATGATTTAGATTCTGGTGATGGAGGAGAAATGCTGGATACTGCAAGGTCACTTTTTGATTTTTTAGGCTTCTTTGCATTTGTCTGCCAGGGTTTATCATAACTTCTGAAATCCCTTCTTGTTCCCTTGTGTTCTGCTGGAAAAAAGGATATTTGCTTAAATTTTTGCAGATCTTTTACATAAAGTAATCATCACTCCATAAACAAAATTATTCAACATATGTGCATCAAAACAAGTATATAGATCTGTTTAATAAGTCATAACTTTGTTATGCACAAATATTTACATTCCACGAAATTATGACTCTTATTTCATTTTCATCTATGTATGCCTTTGATAGATGTTCATGAAAAAAAGTGTTGTACAAGACTGCATTTGCATAATAGCTTTTTGATATTCTCATATTCCAAACTACATTCTGATAAAAATATATCCAGGTATAGTAAAGAGATTTGAAGGATTGTTTTTGGATATAACCATGTAACCAAATAGTCATATAAATTGCTACTTGTTTAAATTTATGTTAGAAGAAATTATGTAGAAAAAACTCTTAGCATTTATATCTCTGTTCATAGGTTAAGAATATCAACATGTAGAATGAAATATTGATCTATGTCATTAGTTCCATCACCAGTATTACATGGCCAGCACGGCCTGGAACTTTACATCTGGACATTAGGAGGAATATCCAAAGAGGAATTTCTTTAAATATACCTGTTAATATGTGGCAACTTCTCCTGATCTGGATTCCCAACTAAGGGGCATCCAGATTGTATGGTGTCACTGCACATTAATAACTGATAAATTAATATGAACATATTAGTCTGAAATAGTAATTGATAAACCCAGATAAAACTTCTGGACAGATACTTTAATTAATTAAATGTGGATAGATATAAGTACTTTGGACATACAAAACATATGATCTCTAGGCATACAACCTCTAGGCAGATAAATATGATCTAGTAAAATATAACAGCTTTGGTATATAGTGATTACAGAACTGTGTTCACTTAGAATTCCCCAATGAATAATCATTGTTCTACATACCTGAAGCTTCACTCTCTGCCCAGAGAGCAGCAGATCCAGATAATGTCCTCTGAATCTGACCCTGGATCCCCTGTTTAGACTGAAGATGGTCAATGAGAAATGGGATTGGATGATCAGGAGTCTCTGTTATCAGCTTGGTCATCAGTTCCTTAAAATCATCAAATGAAGATGTGTCAAATACATGTCCTGAAGTTCATCTTGTTTCAGTGGAAGTTTAAAATATAATTAATGTTCTCATTAATCAAACTCTCCTTTAGGATTTTTTTTTTTTGCAAGAAAGGCAGAATATTGCAATGCTTGAAGGATTGTGACAAAACTATGTATTACTGAAACCACCTCAAAAGGCACAAAGCAGCCAAAGAAAAATTAAATCAGAAGTACAGAATTCTGTTTCCATGAGATTTCTTCTTTTTTTTTTCCTGCTTCAAAATAAAAGTAAAAACCCAAAAATGCTTCTCCTTTAACCATATGAAAACTCTGGAAGAAGTTATTTAATTGGCAGAAGGCTAGCTGAATACAGTCCATTCTTTGTTTAAATATGGTTTGTTGAATAAACTACATTAGCTGGTTCCATACAGCACAAAGTCATAAATTATGGTTTAAAGGCCACTTTGATCAGAATCAGACATTGCACACTACAACTGAGCTCTTGGTGTAAATCCAGTTAATAATTCCACTTGGTTGGTTTACGTATAAATGATTTTTATTAAAATGATCGTATACTTTTCTTCATTTGTATATTTTTTAAACTCACTCTATAAAATGCTCAGGGAAATCATTTATTTTTTAACAATAAGAACCTGACAACTTCAGCTCCCAGCACAGAAAGGACTCATTTCTAAATTCTTTGCATGCAAGTTAATTATTCTAGATAATTACTTAACCTTCCTCTTTATTGCATCATTTTGTTCATCTGTTCATTCATATATTTGATTTCACCTTGCTGAAACCACTGTCTACATGCTTTAAAAGAAGTCATGCTTTGAAAAGGTTTTGCAAATGTGTTTCTGAATTAACTTGTTTTACTGCTTTCTTTTAATAATCTTTTCTCTTCTGCATTCATTATCTAACAAAATCATCAAAAAATCCAGCACAGGACTATCAAATCCAACTTCTCAGATTGACTTAGCTTTGAAAACCACTCCTATGATGTTCTACATACAGGAGCTTGTGTCAAATACATTTAATTTAAAATATTATCTTTCCTCTTTTTAAAAATGATACAACAGTTTACCTCTGATTTATTTATGGTTTTTATTATTTTACAAGTAACAAAATGCAGCCATGCCTACAGTATTATTCCTAGTGAACACATAGTACCCCAATGAATTTTTTTAGCCTTGGAAGGAGAATGGTGCAGTAGCTGCTGATTTACTCAGATGTTCACATATGTATGGGAGTGAGTATATAGGTGCACGTGTGTGCATAAACCCACCCACGACATTTTCTTCCTCTACGTTGGGCAGACACTGCAGACTATTATATTTTGTCCATTAAGTATAATGTTATACTATGGTGGTCACACAGTCAGCCAGATGTTTAGGCTGGATTTGGCATTTTTATCCACCTATCGAGTC